AATTTGATTTGATTGGTGACCAAATCGGTTGGCAACCACGTTCATAGGGGTCAGAATGGATTAACCTTATTTACATTGAACCTTATGGGAAAATTTGATTCGGTTCGCGATCAATTCGGCTCGCGACCAGAATCGTGGAATGATTAAGTTCTTGAACCGAGGTTCCACTGTACATAATCAGCAGCTTAGATAAAACCAAAAGAACATCAAATCAGCATCAATATAACCATTTCATGGGCTCTGCCATACATTCTAACCCCCATGCATGCTAACAGAGCCATGTCTTCAAGGCCTTATGAAAGACCAAGAGGGTTGGAGCTAATCTTATCTCCGAGGGGAATGATGTTCAAAAGAGCAGGTGCCACAACAGAAAAGGGTCTCTTCCTGGGTCCTGCCAGATAGCACTCTCTAATAGATGGGACCCGGAGCATGCCTCTCCTGCCAGATCCAATGGGGCAGGTAGGCACAACTGGGGAGAGGCAGTCCCTCAAATAACCTGGCCCCATGTCATGAAGAGCTTTATAGGTAACTACCAGCACCTTGAATTGAACCTGGAAGCACACTGGCAACCAGTGCAACTTGCAGGGTAGGTGTAATACGTACTGCTTGAGGACCACACACAACTGCTTGTACTGCTGCATTTTGATCCAGTTGCAGCTTCCACATGCTCTTCAAGGATAAAGCACATTGCAGAAGTCCATTTGGGAGGTGACTAAGGCATAAGTGGCCATGAGCATAGCCTCCCTGTCATTATGGCCATGGCTGCCACCTGTTTCTCGAACAGGAGTTCAGGAGGACCCCCAAATTTGCACTGGTTCTGTTTGGGGTAATGTAACATCCAGAACAAAAAATGGAAAGTCCCTGGAGTCTGGGGCTCCTAATACCTAGAACTAGGGTTACTTCTGTTACTATACTTAATTCCCATCCTCTCCCCCCCCCCCATTTACATACTAATGAGTGTTTTTATTTTAGACTGCATTATTACCTGGATACTTAATACTTTATCTGTATGTTATTTTAAGCTATTGGCATTTTGATGTAATAAAGCCTATCTATTTCCTTTTTTTTTTTTTTTTGGTCCCTTCAAGTCAGTCTTGACTCCTGATGACTGCCTGGACAGGTCCCTGCAGTTTTCTTGGCAGGGTTTTTTTGAAGTGTTTTGCCCTTGCCTCCTTCCTAGGGCTGAGAGAAAGTGACTGGCCCAAGGTCACCCAGCTTGGCTTCATACCTAAGGCAAGACTAGAACTCATGGTCTCCTGGTCTCTAGCCTGGTGCCTTAACCACTACACTAAACTGGCTCTCTCATGGTCTATATGAAATCAAAATCTAAAACTAGATTTTCCTTTAAGTGGCAAAATTCAATCTTTATATGGTGGTCTTTTCTAGACAGAAACACTAGGTATAGGTAATATCCTTATGATGGACACTTAGGAAAACATTCTCTCTCTATAGATCCCGGTGAATTTCATGATGTTGCTCTAATGTGCTTCAATGTTCCTATTGTAGATGAACCTGTTTTCATTATCACAGCAACTGACAAGGACCAAGAAGGCACTGCAAATTCTGAAGTGGCATATTTTCTGCTTTCACAGACGCCTCATCTGAACCCTTCTCTCTTCACTATGGATTCCTCTAGTGGCTTAATACACATTACAGGATGCTTGGATTATGAGGTATAATCCTTACAAACAAAGTTACAATGATAGCTACATAAGTTCTGCATCTTGGCATGATACACTCCAGTAGAACTATCCAATAAAATTAGATCGTTGATTCTGTCTTTTCGTCTGATATGTCAATATCTAATCTTAATCCACTACCCTAAACTAAATGTTTATCTTAGTTCTTCTGAGTGCTGTGAATGAACAGTGAAATGGTAAGTTAAAGGAATGTGGATAGAATTGGTATTTGGAGCCAGGAAATTGGCCAAATTTAATCTACTTGTTAGCGAATCAGAGAGTTATCTTGATCCATTTTCTCTTAGCTGACACATTGTGATTGGTGAGTTGGAAGGATAAAAGAATAGGTAAAAACCAATGTTTGGCACATAGATCTTGTGGCATAAATGACTAGAAATATGTATTGTTTTTACAGATGTTACAAAACCTTGTGTGTGTGTGTGTATAAATATAAATATACATATATAATATAGCACAATCCTCCCAATTTACCTAATAAAATTGTTATCCAGCTAGGTTTTAACTTGTGGCTATAGAACATCAATGCAGATACAAGATATATTTAAAGTGACTGCATGATATAGATACTTTGATAGACAAATTAAAGTGATCCTCAGCTGTTTGAGGGAACAGACTATGTGTATTAAACTCTGGCATCTCATATAGTCATGATCTTATATCTTGCCACTATCTCTTTACTATTTGGAGGACTGCATTTTTAGAAAAGAATGACAAAATTCATACCCTAATTTTGAAAATTTCCAAAAGGATAATGATAATGTCAAATTTTCTTCTTCCTTTTATTGATAAAAAGAACCTGTTTTTAAAATTTACTATCTTTAAGGCTGATAGGACTTTCAAACTTCTGATCAGGGCTTCAGACCATGGATCTCCGTCCTTATCATCAACTGCAACAATCAATATTGCTCTAGAAGATTCTAACAACAATTTGCCTGTATTCATCCAAGAAAATGTAAGATGTTTAAGATGCCTACTGATAGTGTGAGAGAAGTTATGCTGGACCCAGCCATGAAGGATAAAAGTATATTCCTTTAACTCATGTTTGCAGGCTCTCAGAACAAGATTTGTAGTCATAAAGCATGGTTTCCTTCTGAAGAACTTCACTTTGTGATGGTTAGGAGGACCTGCATTCCATTCCTTGAGATGTTGCTGAAGTGCAGGTCCAGCCAACATGGCCATTGGTGGAGGATCCTGGGATCTGTAGTTCAGCAAGATTTGGAGGGTGGGATATTGCCCACCTTGATATGCTGTGTAACTAGAAAGCATAGATTCAGTTTGATTGGGGAGTAGATATTAAGAGTGGTAACCCTATTGTTGCTTCCTTAAGCAGAATAAGAATTCTGCCATGTCAATGTTCTGTGAG